AAAACTTACAAAGTTTCCCCACCACTTAGAGGGTAAAGTCCAAATCCTTCAGCCCGGCCCGTGAGGCTGCTTCCACCCTGGCTCACCATCCCCGTTATCCCCTGCCCACCCATAGGGCTCCTCACATCAGCACCGCTAGGTACAAGCTCTCTTTCTCACCTTTGATTGGTTCCTTCATATTCCCTTCTTCTGGGTCACCCAGATTCTGTTTATTAAAGTCCTTTTCAACCTTGAATGACAAACCCAAAGTCATCTCTTTCAGGAAGCCTTTCTCATACCCCTGGGGGCAGGGGAAGTTGGGAGCTTCTCCAGCTCTTAATCCTGTATCTGCTTGGGAGATAAAAGAGGTGTCCTCATCACCCTCTGGGACCTCCTTGACCATGGGGTCCCCTAAAGCAGGTACAGTGACCCAATCACCTCTGATTCTTCAGTCCTGGCCTGGTGGCCGACAGATGACAGGGCCTTGGCAGAGGCCAGCAGAGTGGCTGGTGGCTGAGTGGGCAGCAGAGGAAGAAACACGGTGGGGACCATTACACCAGTGCCTCCTGCTAGCCGGGTTCCCAAACTCTCAGGCTGAAGCAGACGCTGAAGCGCATCCATTAGGTGTCAGTGAGCATCAGAACTGACTCCTGAAAGTAAAGATGAAACACACCTGGAGGCCTGTCTTTAGGGATCCCACAGTCTGGGGGCCTGGGTAGGAAGAGAGGGGACAGGAGGGACGGTGGGTTGCAGGGGAACGGTTGAGCAAGCTTATGAGGGGTCTTGTGGCTGCGTCGGGCTCCTCCAGGCCCCCGGTTTGGACCTCACTGTTGGAGGATGCTGGCTTGCTGCTCTGCCACAGGCCTAAGGAGGCTTGTACGCTTGTCTGAGGCCACAGATCATCTGCATTGTAGTGACAGCGCTTACAGCCCTCCCGCCTCTGTGTAGCACTGGAGAGGTGACCCAGGTTTTTACCTCGACTCTCAGAATCTTCCAGTGCTGGCCAGCCCGTCCTCTACCCATGTAGGGAGTTGGGTCTTCTGGGTTTGACTTTCGTTTGTCCTCATGACGGTGAGCTTCTGAAAATCCTGATTTGGGTTGTTCTTAGAGTCAGAGGTTATTATGTTTGGAAGAGGCTTAGAAGCTGTTGAGCTCAGGGGCCCATTTCAGAGGTGGAACCCCAGATCGGAAAGAAATGGCAGAGGGCCTGCTGACTTCCCTTTTTTCTTTCTTTCTTCCTTTCTTTCTCTCCCTCCCTCACTTCCTTACTCTTCCCTTCCTTCCTCTTCTCTCTCTTTCACCACAAACATTTACTTCACACCTACCTTGTGTCAAGCATGGTTCCCTGTGTTTGGGAGACATCAGGGAAGGAAAAAGGCAAAACTTCCCCAAGCTGGTGCTTCAGGGAGTTTAGGAGAGAGTGACAATGAAAAGAAACAATAAAAAGAAAAATAAACAACTAAATTAAATAGCATCTCATAAAGCGGTGAATGCTATGAAAGATAAGTAGAACAGGATGGAGGAATGCAGGGATGCCACCGCTGGAGGGAGGCGGGTTGCAGTCTGGAGGAGGACGGTCCTTCCTGGAGCTGAGGGGTGGGACCAGTGGAGAGCACCCGCACCCCCTCCCTGGGCACTTCTGTGGCTGTTGGGAGACCAGGTCAGTCCTCAGGCTTCCCGGTTCAAGGCTCCTCCTCCAACTCCCTTGGGACGCTGGTAAATGTCCCCCACCAACTTCTTATTCATTCTCTCTAAGGGAAGCAAGAGGATGTTGTAATTAGACCGCCTGGCTGGAATCTGACTCCCACGTTCACAAGCTCTGTGTTGTGCAGTTTCCCTGCCGGTACCGTGGGGCTGATCGCACCACCCACTTGCTCTGGGAGATTTCAGAAACTAACATACCGCACATGGAATGGCGCCTGGCACATGCCGGGTACGATTTAAGTCTGTTAAATCATCCGATTTCTTGTTGACAGAATCCTTCCTCTCTCTATTTCCCTGGTATGTTACTAGGGCAAAGAATCTTTAAAAAAAAACATTAACTGGTAGGACAAATTCACCAGCCTGCGCTTCACAAGAACTTTGCGGACTTTTGTTCCTCAAAAGAGATCTTACAAAACCTGAAAACGGGTACCTTGGAAACAAATGAATGTGAGCTTTGAAGCCTATTTTAAGACGGAGCCTAGGAATTTGAGTGCTGCAGAACATCTACGCCTTCTACAATGGTTTATTAGTTTTCTTTACTTGTAAAGGAAATCTCTTCATAGGCCACTGACCAGGGTTACCTGATCTCTTTTGATATTGGCGTATCATGCTACAAGACATTCATCCTGAAACCTTTGACCAGGAGAAGTAACAGAGCCTTTTTATGGTCGGAGCAGACAGCCCTACTGGTTCAATGCACTTTGGGAGGACACACACAGCACGTACTCCTGTGATAAACACAGACGAGTTGCTGTGAGATGTGGTCTGAGGAAGCAAGGCGAAATTGGCTTTCTTCTGCCTTCCAGCAGACCCAAGAATTTCAGCAGGCTTTTGGGGGATGGTGTGCAGGCGACAAGTCTGTTCCATCACACATCTGCAGCCTGCTGCGGGTTGAATTTTGTGTCTTAGGCTGCTGCCCACCATTTTCCTGAAGGACAGCATAGAAGGAGTCCCTTCACCGTACAAAATGATGATCTTAGTTGGCTGGGAGGCAGCCCTGTGAAATAAAAATATTTGGTTTGGAGAAACCTTGGTCTTGGATCTCTATTTGCAGCCTTGGTACAGGAGGGCAAGTGCCGGTTGCTCAGTCATCTCATCCGGAAGTGGAGTGGGTTGGCGTTGAGGCCCCCTCTCATTTCTAAGGCTCGAGAGTCATTAATCCTTAGGGATGGATGGAATCTTGAAAGGCTGCGAATGTCTGCTGTGCTTGGGAACGTTCTCCAGTCTCCAG